GCAGATGAACTAAACTAAACTCCCAGAGATAAAGCTGAAATTATTCTATCCCAGTGGGACAAAGTGATGTGGAGGTCATCCTGGGAAACAGTGCTGGTTCTTCTAAGAGGAAATGCTTCAGTAGCTTCCACAGCACTACTTTCCTCCCAGATTTCTGAGTACAGAGAGTTAAGCATTAGGAAATAGAGTTATTATAAATCTTCTGGTCTCTTTGCTCTCCAATAGGCCTTTTGTGTGATGGGAGAAGCGGTCCAGGAAGGTGTCCAATCTGGAGTTTCTTCTCAATCAATTTGATTTTGCAGAACCAAGACTTGCCTAAATCCTGCCTAGACATCTTGGTTTTTCATGTGAATTTTGAAAGATTCTTTAGTTTTACCCCATTTGAAAAATTTTAATTTTCCCCCCTCTTTATAATCCCAGGAAATTTGCAGCTGTTTTGCTGAGCTCTTAGGGAAGTAACTTCCTTTGGCTTGGTGTCCATATTCACTTTTACCCGAGAAGATCTGTGGGAAGAACTTTGCCTGTTTGGTACTGGCTACCTGTTAATCTTCTCAAATTTTTGACTGAAAGCATCAGCAAGGGGCACTGTGGCACCAAGGCAGCCAGTCCTGGTTCCCTGGGGCTTAAAAGTTACTGTTGAAGTAACCTTGGAAGGTTTTCTTTGCCTCTCTTTTTCTTGGAAACCCCCTCTGCTCTATGGCTGGGACTGGCACTCCCTGATTTCCTTGGCATCCTCCACCAGAGCAGAGGAATGACCTCCCCAGGGTCCTCCCAAACACCCAGGACATCACAGGGAGGAACGTGAGCAGAGCTGAGCTGGGCAAGAACAAAGTTCAGAGCCACAGGACTGAGAGCAAAGGGTTGTTTTGGCAAGATCCAGTAACAGGCATGGAGGGGCAGGGACTGAGCTCTGCTCTGGGGGGACCAGGGACAGCAGCCAGGGAATGGCTGGAGCTGTGTCAGGGCAGGCTCAGGTTGGATCTCAGGCAAAGGTTCTTCCCCCAGAGGCTGGTTGGGCACTGCCCAGGCTCCCCAGGGCAGTGGGCACAGCCCCAAGGCTGCCAGAGCTGCAGGAGGGTTTGGATGATGCTCTGGGGCACAGGGGGTGACTCTTGGGGCTGGGCCTGTGCAGGGCCAGGGTTGGATTGATGATCCTTGTGGGTCCCTTCCAACTCAGCACATCCTGTGATTCTGGGATCTTGAACACACCAGAGATCTTGGTCCCTGCGGGCTCTGTCAGAGGCCCTGGATTTCAGTAACGTGGGTATTTTGGGATGGGCACCTGTGAAGGTTTGCCCTAACCCTTTATGATTGTGATATTACAGAGGAGGGACCAGGGACACTGGAGAGCCCTTTGGGCACACTGAGCTCCCAAAGCAATGTGTGCTGGGCTGGCTGGGATCCACAGGGGGTCCTTATCTCCGGAAGAAGGAGTTGACTCTGGGACTGATCAGAAAACATCCTCAGCAGGAACTGGACACTCCCCTGCTTTCAAGCAGTTGTGCCTAAACAGAGTTCAGGCTAAAAAAACGAAGCTTTCAACATTCAGCCACCAGTTGGATCCTGAGATTTGCCTTAAACCAGCTCATTGTCCTTCCTACTTTTCCTAAATGCTGGAATGCTGGTCCCAGCAGAGTGTGTGTGCTAATGGTGTAAGGATGTAATAGCTCTGGACTCCCCTTGGAGAGCTCCATGGCTCCTGTGCCTCTGTTCCACCCCTGTGGAGCAATATATCAAGGACTTTAATATTATTTGGAAAGCTGATCACAAGAATATATTTCTTATCCCCTGGGCCCGGGGCAGTCACACAGTGCCATCAGCTTTCCTGTCCACAGGCCCTGCCAAATGCCTGTCCCACTGCTCCAGCACTTTTTAAACTCTTCAGTTTTATGGCTTTCTTTTTATTTATAGCTCCCTGTGATACTCCCCTCCTTCTTCCTTGGCATCTGCAGCCCTGCAAAGAAGCTGGAGAACACCAGTTCCCAGAGGGGCCTCTAAAGTCTGAGCAACTTCTTCCTGTCACAAGCCCATCAATGAGGAGCTTGGAGGGGTCTCTACCTCCCAGTCAGGGGTGGGATACCACTTCCCAGGTTACCACCATGACACAGAAAGAGATTTGTTTTCAAGCCTCTCCATTAAAATTCTGCCTCTCCCAGCAGATCTGGATGTTCTTAATTTCCAAAGTTACCTTGGAATTCGTGTTTGAATAAAAAGTGGTATTAGAGACTGGAAGCCTTTTTGTTATTTTGGGTCTTCTGGCTTTAAGGAGACTATAGGGAAATTCCATTTCAAGGCTTTGGAAGACTAGAAGTCCCACCAAGGATGCATATCATTGACAAATGGGTGGGTGCTGGAGAGGAGCACCCAGAGCTCCCCCACACCCCATCTGGGCCCTTTGGGTCTATTCTGGGGACAAGCTTTGGCAGTGGCACAACCCCACACCCTCCTGTGCCAGATCCTGGAGGAAAAGGGCTCTCCAAAGCATTTTATCCCTGATTTTATTCACCCAGGACAACTAAATTCAAGAGCTCCATGTGAGCTGGAGCAACGCTGCTCTCCTGACACTCAGCCCCTGGGTCACGGACACGGCAGAGCTCAGCCAGCCCATTCCTCCCACTGCCAAACCAGCAGCTCCTAAATTCAGCTGTCCAGGGGAAATAAGAGGCTCCTAAACCCAAAATACAGCAACAAATGTGTCATAGTTCTTCCCAGAGAGGTGGGTGCTGCCAGTGAGTTCCCAGGAGAAGCACCGATCCCAAACGAGCCATCACTGGTCCTGTTCCTTTCCTCTTACACAGAGTGGAGGCAGAAAATTTGGTTCTTCTACTACTTTTATCACCCTGTTTTTGCTCAATTCCTCCA